CCTTCAAGATATCACTCGAGGTATTTTACTAAGTAAATGGGCATTTGGTCTAATAAATAACTTTTTATTGATTTGAGTTAGAAATAAATAGCTTATTTATTTTTTACACTATCTAATTGAAAGTAGATAAGAAATTTCGAATATTCAAATATGTTTGAAATTAATAATTTATCTATCTTACGTATGAACACAGCATCTGCTAGTGACAGTCTAAGCTCACCACAAATATTGAAAGACTTCAATTGATCACACAAATTTAAAAGATGATGGTGACAGGCCGAATGTATCTTTAGGAAGACATTGGTGATTGTGTTCTTGTCAAAATACGTGTCCAATTGAAGAATATAAAAATAGTTCTCTTAATGATAGATAATAAAGATATCAGTTTTGCTACAATTATATTTTGGTCGATAGTTTTGTTTACATTTCATGATGTGACACATAGTTTCGTCATTGACTTGAACAATACTTACAATAATCGATGACCTAGATTATTACACATCATGAGATGTCAATTAAGATGTACAAATAGAATGTATAAGTAGCTTATTCGAGGATAGAATGTATAAGTAGCTTATTCGAGGCATTGTTTTTTCTATTTGTGCACAAGTAAATTTATGTAGGGGTTTGGTTCCATCTAAATGAAAATAGATGGCTCCAACATTTATGGGGTTTTTCTGCTGATATTTTTTTATTGACATGATTAGGATTAAACTCTAATCTAGATTACTTATTGGTGCTGGGATGACATATATTCCTAGTCTAGTTTTTTGGGTATCTCCTTGTGATTTTGTACTTTCACAAATTAAATATAATACACTTTCCTTATCAAAAAACTCTCAATTTTGGTAGTGTTTTCTCTCTTTTAAGAATTTTGAGCGTGTTTCGAAGTGAATTTTTTGTATGGGGAGAGAGATTGAGACATTGGCAGTCAAAAATTGTTTTTTGATTCAAGCTGTATTTTCAATTTTTGAGAGATTTGACTTCAAATACTTCCTGAATTCACCTTGTTTTTCGATACTAGTTCCTCATGAAATCCAGTGACGAATTTAGGATAGGACGAATATGTAAAGAAAACACTTAAAAAAAAATTTACTTGCAAAAATTCCTTTTTACACACAAAATTCGTAAATGGGTTGGAACTGAAGTCCAACCTTGTCCAGTTCCTTTCAATTCGCCAGTGGGATGCTTAACATGTGCAACTTGTACGGGAAGTAGTGTTTCACTCAAGGACATGCTCTTTGGGAGGAGAACTTAAAATAGCATATCCAGCACCTGTTTTCCAGGGTGACCAAAGGACTTGTGCCAATTTGAAGGGTTAGATGTAGAACTTTATAAAGCAGCAAGTATTGAAGACTCCTACAAGAGATGAATTGGATAGAAAGAGTCGTCGTGTCATCCACTTCTTTTATTATATGTTCTAAACACCGGTGACATGATTGATAGATAATTTTATGATAGATCTCAATTATCTTTATTTGACTTCTTGTAGAAGAGGTTTTAGAATAAATTATTTTAATTAGTGTTTTTAAATTAATTTTTACTTTTGAAAGAAAGTTTCTCTAAAAGTTTTTCTAACTTCTTACTAGAAGAAGTAGAAATTACACCCACACCTATTTTTCAACTTTTCATTTCAACAATTGGGTACAAGGTATTTTCTTTCAAAAATCAGGTAAACCCTACCCCAATGCACCTGCCCTAAACATTTCTACCCAAAACAAACTCACTCCTCCTTTGACTGCTGCTTCATTCTTCTCTTTTACCTACTATTTCCATCTCCGCTCGCCGCGCACCCATAGCTATGAATGGCGTTGCTTAGAGCATAGTGACTACTTGTTGTCATTCTTCTTCTCCGGTTGTACTTTCACCTCTTCGCTTGTCATGAAACGCACATCAGTGATGGGCATTGCTGCAGTCATTGCTGCAAAGGCGACGATATATGTGCGATGGGTTTTTCTCTCCATGTTCTTGCCTCAAATTTCATTTTTGTTCCTTTCCTTCCGATTTTAGTTGTCGTATGTGCAGTGATCGTGTGGCGATGTAACATTATAATATACTACGAAGAATGGAGGAATAATTGTAAAAGAGACATGGAATCATAGGATAGTGCATCATTAAATTTTTTAAGTCAATTATTTTCATATATTCAAACAGACATTCTTTATAATAATAATAATAATAATAATAATAATAATAATAACAATAACAATAACAATAACAATAACAATAACAACAACAACAACAACAATAACAACAAAAACGTTAATTTAAATTTTTATCAAAACATCAATAATAATAAGTGTAGGGGCTCAAAGTCGTGCACAAACACTTTCGGCTTCTCCTAGCCACACTCGATGGTTGGTTGGCACAAACATGCTCACGTCCCAACATTTTGGCCTAATAGCCGTGCTAGGCCATTCAAAAGTAGCTTGATCCAACCCGCTTTTCATTTCTAATCCAAAAGAGAGCAGTTATTATCATCTACTATTGTTAACAACAACATGTGGAAATTGGGTCAAATAACCTCTCACATAATATACTTTGCAAATTTAGCCCTTGACTAGAATAAAAATATTAAACTAAATCATTTAAATTAAAATTAACAAACTACCTGAATTGCCCTTATTCCAACCAAAGAAATTTCCCCTTTTCATTTTCCTTTCCCAAATCCATCTTCTCTCTGGAACGTAGAAACATTCGAAACCTAAATCCATCTCTTCCCTTACATACTTCACCAACATTTCTTTTCGAATTAAAATTCAAACCGAAACATCATTTCCCTGGAAGAAAAGAAAATCTGTCAAAACTAAATCCCTACAGATTTTTCGGAATCTTTGCATTCAACTTGTAAGAAACAAAGGCATTGTAGCTTGAAGGAGATCTCCATTCAGGACCCTAAAATGGTGTGCTCGTAAGGGATCAATTTGTGAGAGTTCATTAATACTGGTTGGAAGCGTTGCTCATTTGTATTTATCAATCTCCAAGAATGGTAAAGATCAAATATTCATACTTGATTTATTTATCTGTTTATACTTTGCTCTCTTGCTGAAGATTTATTGGAGAAAGAAAAAAAGTTATAACTCATTGGGAGTTGTGATTTTTGCAATATTGGGTTGTTGGGCAATTTTGTATCTGAGTAACCATTTATATGGAAGCAGCTACTATATTTCTAAATTTATATGGAGGGCTTGGAGTTATTCCATGTCTCTTTGTTATAATGATT